ATTGCAACTCCAGCCTAGGCAACAAGAGTGAGACTCCATCTCAAAAAAAAAAAAAAAAAGAAAGAAAGAAAGAAAAAACAGAAAACTGTACAATCCCCTCTTCATGTCTGCTTTTAAATAATAAGGTACTCCCTGGGCGTGGTGGCTCACGCCTGTAATCCCAGCACTTTAGGAGGCCAAGGCAGGTGGATCTCTTGAGGTCAGGAGTTCAAGACCAGCCTCACCAAAACAGCAAAGCCCTGACTCTACTAAAAAAAAATACAAAAATAAGTCGGGGGTGGTGGCTGGTGCCTGAAATCCCAGCTACTCAAGAGACTGAGGCAGTACAATCGCTTGAACCCTGGAGGTTGAGGTTGTAGTGAGTGAGATCGTCCACTGAACTCTAGACTGAAACATCAGCCTCTGACGTTTCAATGTGTGATGAAAAGGTTTTTTGGGGACATGGGATTGTTGTGTTATTTGTTGGTTTTTCAGACGGAGTCTGGGGAGTCTCGCTCTGTCACCCAGGCTGGAGTGCAATGCTGTGACCTTGGCCTACCTCAGCCTCCACCTCCCAGGCTCAAGCGATTCTCCTGCCTCAGCCTCCCACCAAGTAGCTGAGACTCTTGTCTCAAAAAAAAAAAGGAAAATCTCCTTCCCAAACCAGGAACCCACTTCCTCCTTCCAATCCAGAAACTCCCTCCTCAAGGGTAGAAGAAAAAGAAAACAATGTTATCAGGAAACAAGCATTACATTAGAATGTGATACACAACTCAGGCCCTCCGAGACCCATTCACTTTCTGAAACTAAACAATGACTCATTGTAACAGCAGGTAGAGGCTTTGCAATTTGGACTCAGGCGGCAGCTTAAATTAAGCTCTTCTCCCAGGACGCTGGGGAATGAGGCTTTTTGTTTTTACCACCCCCTCGGGATGGATCACATTTCAAAGAGTTTGGTCCCAGACACCGCAGGAAACCTTCCCGAGCTGTGAGGTGGGCCCTGGGGCCTGCTTAAAAAGATTTACATACATTTGAAAAAGGACAGAGAAAGAACTTGAAACTGCAAGTTGTTAGGGAAGAAAAAGAGAAAAAGTGGGAAAGTATCCCTCCCACGTTTTTCAGCAAGAGAAAAGTTACCCCGGCCCTGTGGCTCACACCTATAATCTCAGCACTTTGGGAGGCCGAGGCAAGTGGATCACGAGGTCAAGAGATCGAGACCCGTCTCTACTAAAAAATAAGCCGGGCATGGTGGTGCACACCTGTAGTCCCAGCTAGCTACTCGGGAGGCTGAGGCAGGAGAATTGCTTGAACCCAGGAAGCGGAGGCTGCAGTGAGCCGAGATTGCACCACTGCACTCCAGCATGGGAAAGAGTGGATCACCTGAGGTCGGGAGTTCCAGACCAGCCTCACCAACATCAGCCGGGTGTGGTGGCACATGCTGGTAATCCCAGCTACTCAGGAGGCTGAGGCAGGAGAATCGCTTGAACCTGGGAGGCAGAGGTTGCAGTGAGCCGAGATGGCGCCATTGCACTCCAGCCTGGGCAACAAGAGTGAGACATTGTCTAAAAAAAAAAAAAAAAAAAAATGCATCTACTATCTTGATAAACTGATCACAAATTTGAAAAGTAGTAAATCCAACCATCATCACCTGGAAACCATCTGTATCTATGTATCTATACACGCACTTTTATTATTAAAACATCGCAGTTGGCTGGGTACAGTGGCTCACGCCTATAATCCCAGCACCTTGGGAGGCCAAGGCGGGCAGATCACCTGAGGCTGGGAGTTCGAGACCAGCCTGACCGACGTAGAGAAACCCCAGCAAAAATACAAAATCAGCTGGGCGTGGTGGTGCGTGTCTGTCATCTCAGCTACTCAGGAGGCTGACACAGGAGAATCACTTGAACCCAGGAGGTGGAGGTTGCACTGAGCTGAGATCGGGCCGTTGCACTCCAGTCTAGGCTATAAAGAGTGAAACTCCATTAAAAAAAAAAAAAAAGGCATTTACTATCTTGATAAATATCATAAAGTTGAAAAGCTGTACATCAAACCATCATAAGTTGGAACCATCTGTATCTAGTGTATGTGTACACACACTTTCATTATTAAAATATTGCAGTTGGCTGGGTGTGGTGGCTCACACAGCACTTTGGGAGGTCGAGGTCGGGAGTTCAAGTCCAGCCCGACAACATGGTGAAAACACTGTTTCTACTAAAAATACAAAATAACATAGCCAGGCATGGTGGCAGGTGCCTGTAATCCCAGCTACTAGGGAAACTGAGGCAAGAGAATTGCTTGAACCCAGGAGGCAGAGGTTAGAGTTAGCGGAGATCACACCACTGCACTACAGCCTGGTGACAGAGCAAAACTCCGTCTAATTAATATTATGTATACATAATACATACTTTATATTTTATATATATGTTTTACATATTTACATATTGTATACATTTATACGTTATATATCATATACATGTATAACATATAAAAGCATAGCCATACATGTTACATGTCACACATAACATATACATTGCATACACCTTGTCACATATAACACACACGTCATACATGTTATATGCCACATATAGAAGATACATGTGTGATATAGCTAACTTAAGTTGGAACCTGTATACTGCCATCTTATAAAAGACAAAAATGTTTCCATTCTCCTCAAGGACTGCTAACCTTGGTTTCTGTAAATTGCTAGATCATTTGCAGGGTGCAAAGAGAGGTAAAGCTGCATACCTTCTCTTATCTGCCAGAATTGCTGGCCTTTGTTTCCCAGAGTAAGCACCCCCAGATCATTCCATCCTGGCGCCAAGCAACTGAAAATCTATGGATCCCACCCCTACCCAGACGATGTGTAAATGAATGCTAATCTTAGCATCTGTGAACCCTTAAATAACAATCAGAATGTCAAATAGTCCCCTGGCCCTCGAAATGTCCGGAACCCCCTCACCCTCCTCTCCACCCAGAAGGTGATTTGAATCCACTGGCCCTCGGAATGTCTGAAGCCCCTCACCCTCGTCTTAGCCTGGGAGGTGATTGACAGCTTTCATTCCCATCTCCACCCCCACTCCCAAGGTGGTTTTGCGGGTATAAAAAGGTCTTGTTTCTTTTCATTCAGGGCCACGGGTTGGAGAGACGTGAGTCCTCCGTGGTCGCCGGCAATAAACCCTGCAATTTGGCATACTTTTGTTCTGGTGTTGACTTTCTGTGCTAAGTTCAATGCAACACATGTCATACATGCTATGTGTCACGTGTCGCATACACATATACATGCTATGTCATATACAACGTGTCATACATGCCTTATATGTCGCACATGGCATGCATGACATGTCACATGTGACATAATGTGCATTCATGCCATATATGACATGTATGGTGTGTGCTGTGTAAAACATGTAGCACTTACGACACGCATGTGCTACGTGTGGCATGCAACATGTATGTTGTGTGTGGCACATGCATGTGACATGTGTATGACGTGGGTAACAGCATGTGTGGCATATGACATATAGCAGGCATGTTACATGTAACACAACATGACGTGTATATGCAGGATAGCATGTGTGGCATGTATGTTATTTGCAGTCATAGGCAACATATAGCATGTATGCCATATGTCACGTGTGACAGGTATGGCGTGTGTCGTATAACATGTATGACATGTGTGTTGTGTATGTCATGTGTTTTGTGTCACATATAACATGTGCATGTATGTGTGTTTTGTTACATAGACATGAGCGTCATGCATGTTATATGTTGCATGTGACATGCATGTCATGTGTGACATACACACTATACATGTTATGTGTTACATATAGAATGCATGTTATGTCACATATAACATATGCATGCCATACCTGTTACGTGTCACATGTCACACATACATCATACATGCCACACATGCTATGTGTTACATATACATGTCTTGTCACTTTTGAAATGGCATCACTACTCTGGGCGTGGTGGATCATGCCTGTAATCCCGGCACTTTGGGAGGCCAAGGCAAGCGGATCACGAGGTCAGGAGATAGAGACCATCCTGGTCAACATGGTGAAACCCCGTCTCTACTAAAAATACAACAAAAAATGGCCAGGCATGCTGGTATGCACCTGTAGTCCCAACTGCTCAGGAGGCTGAGGCAGGAGAATTGCTTGAACCCAGGAGGCAGAGGTTGCAGTGAGCAGAAATCATGCCACTGCACTTGACCCTGGGCAACAGAGTAGACTCCGTCAGTAAAAAGAAAGAAGAAATGGCCTCACTAATAAGTCACAGAGCTGTAGAAAGCAGCCTGAAAGGACAGCCTTCTGCTTCATAGATACCCATAGGCACCACCTCCAGCACTGGTGCCAAAGTTCTGTTGTTCAGGGTGAAGCTGCTTCCTTTTTTTTAGATGGAGTCTCACTCTTGTTGCCCAGGCTGTAGTGCAATGACACGATCTTGGCTCACTGAAACCACCGCCTCCCAGGTTCAAGCGATTCTCCTGCCTGAGCCTCCTGAGTGGCTGCGATTACAGGCATGCGCCACCACGCCCAGCTAATTTTTGTATTTTTAGTAGAGATGCGGTTTCACCCTGTTACTCAGGCTGGTCTCGAACTCCTGACCTTGTGTTCCACCTGCCTCGGCCTCCCAGAGTGATGGAATTACAGGCGTGAGTCACCGTGCCCGGCTTCAGGGTGAAGCTTCTAACAGACATCTATCAAGGCGAACACAGGATCCCCTCCCTCCTTACAGCAAGAAGAGGACCAAAACTTTGCCTACAGTCAATGCCAATGCCAAACTCACAATCCCCCCATCAGCCTGGTACTGACTGAAGCAGAGGCAGTCACACCCTGTCCACATAAACCTCCTGTCACTCGTCATGTCACCAAGAAGAAGGCAGTGGAGATACATCTCTTTATTATTATGGCTTGTACGCTTCAACGGTTTCTGAGACCAGCTCGGTCGTGGAGACTCAAACCCAGGTGGCACTGCAGGAATTAAGAAACACACACAAAGACACAGAGCAAAAGTGGCAATCAGAGTGTGACATCAGGGGGGCTGACAGCATCTCCCAGCTGACAGCACAGAGCAGACTCTCACCCATGTATTTATGCTTTTGAGAACAGGTGATCATTTTTAATAAGCAGGTGCTCAATATTCCTTCACAGAATAAAGAGACTCAACAGGCAGATAGGGCGTGTTCACTAGTAAAATAGAAATAAGCCAGAAAGCACTCTGCCAGTCGCCAATGGGGACAAGATCATGTATCCAGTGTTTCGGGAGTTGGTTTAGCAAGTGCATGACCAGCACATACAGTTCAGTCTTCTAGAACACTCTGAACAGTTTTCTGCCTGGGACACACGGAGTTTCTTGCCACCGTTTCTCAGTAAACAATATACAACCCATCACACGTATGTCAAGACCTTTTCCCAGCAGATGGTCATTTCCGATGACAAGGAAAGTTATTTCCTGGCTAAAATGGCATCATAAATCACCCCCGTTTTTTTAAACTGGAAGTCTCTGAAGCCAGCAGAAGACAGGAGCTCATGGTAGTGGCTGGGTGTCCTCTCCTGGCCTTCCGTCTGCACAAGCATGTTCAGAGAGTAGAGCTGCGTGAGGAGAGGACCTCGCCTGTCTTCATCCAGGAGGCTTTCAATGACTAGAATGCCACCACCTAGAAAGGGACAGGCACAGTCCATATGACACACAAGCGCATGGCAAGCTGTGTGTGATGAGGACAGTGCCCCAGGGACTTCTGGGGTCCACTCATCTTCATGGCCCATGAGGACATGGCACAGCCTGTGTGTGTGTGATGGGAACAGTGCCCCAGGGACTTCTGAGGTCCACACATCTTCATGGTCCATGAGGATGTGGGCACAGCCTCTGTGTGTGGGGGGACAGAGCCCCAGTGACTTCAGAGGTCCACCCATCTTGATGTTTCATTAGAATGTGGGCACAGCCACTGTGTGTGTGATGGGGACAGAGCCACAGTGACTTCTGAGGTCCACTCATCATGGACCATGAGGATGTTGGCACAGCCTGTGTGTGTGTGATGAGGACAGTGCCCCAGGGACTTCTGAGGTCCACCCATCTTGATGATCCGTGAGGACATGGACACAGCCACTGTGTGTGTGATGGGGACAGTGCCCCAGGGACTTCTGAGGTCCACTCATCTTGATGGTCCATGAGGACATGGACACAGCCACTGTGTGTGTGATGGGGACAGTGCCCCAGGGACTTCTGAGGTCCACTCATGTTGATGGTCCATGAGGACATGGCACAGCCTGTGTGTGTGTGATGGGGACAGTGCCCCAGGGACTTCTGAGGTCCACCCATCTTCATGGTCCATGAGGACATGGCACAGCCTCTGTGTGTGTGATGGGAACAGTGCCCCAGGGACTTCTGAGGTCCACCCATCTTCATGGTCCATGAGGACGTGGACCCAGCCTCTGTGTGTGTGATGGGGACAGAGCCACAGTGACTTCTGAAGTCCACCTGTCTTCATGGTTCATGAAGATATGGGACAGCCTCTGTGTGTGTGGGGACAGAGCCCCAGTAACTTCAGAGGTCCACCCATCTTGATGGTTTATTAGGATGTGGGCACAGCCTGTGTGTGTGTGTTGGGGACAGTGCCCCTGTGTCCTGTGAGGTCCACTATTCTGATGATCCATGATGACGTGGGCACAGCTTCTGTGTATGTGATACAGACAGTGCCCTGTGTCCTGTAAGGTCCTTCCATCCTGATGGTCCATGAGGACATGGGCACAGCCTTTGTCTGTGATGGGGACAGAGGACATGGGCACTGCCTCTGTTTGTGTGTGAAAGAGACAGAGGAGGTGTGCACTGCCTGTGTGTGTGTGAAGGGGACAGAGGACATGGGCACTGCCCCTGTGCATGTGTGAAGGGGACAGAAGACGTGGGCACTGCCACTGTGTGTGTGAAGGGGACAGAGGAGGTGTGCACTGCCTCTGTGCAAGTGTGAAGGAGACAGAGGACATGGGCACTGCCTCTGTGTGAGTGTGAAGGGGACAGAGGACATGGGCACTGCCTCTGTGTGAGTGTGAAGGGGACAGAGGACATGGGCACTGCCTCTGTGTGAGTGTGAAGGGGACAGAGGACATGGGCACTGCCTCTGTGTGAGTGTGAAGGGGACAAAGGAGGTGGGCACTGCCTCTGTGTGTGAAGAGGACAGAGGAGGTGGGCACTGCCTCTGTGTGTGTGTGAAGGGGACAGAGGACATGGGCACTGCCTCTGTGTGAGTGTGAAGGGGACAGAGGACATGGGCACTGCCTCTGTTTGTGTGTGAAAGAGACAGAGGAGGTGTGCACTGCCTCTGTGTGTGTGTGAAGGGGACAGAGGACATGGGCACTGCCCCTGTGCATGTGTGAAGGGGACAGAAGACATGGGCACTGCCACTGTGTGTGTGAAGAGGACAAAGGAGGTGGGCACTGCCTCTGTGTGAGTGTGAAGGGGACAGAGGACATGGGCACTGCCTCTGTGTGTGAAGAGGACAGAAGACGTGGGCACTGCCTCTGTGTGTGTATGAAGGGGACAGAGGACGTGGGCACTGCCTCTGTGTGTGTATGAAGGGGACAGAGGACATGGGCACTGCCTCTGTGTGTGAAGAGGACAAAGGAAGTGGGCACTGCCTCTGTGTGTGTGTGAAGGGGACACAGGTGGTGGGCACTGCCTCTCTGTGTGTGCGAAGGGGACAGAGGTCGTGGGCACTGCCTCTGTGTGTGTGATGGGGACAGAGGACATGGGCACTGCCTCTGGATGTGTGTGAAGGGGACAGTGTCTGTGCTGTCTATTCTGTGAGGTCCATACATTCTGATATTCCATGAAGAGCTAGGCACAGCCTCTGAGTGTATGACGGGGACAGTGCCCCACCTTCCTCTGAGGTCTGGCCATCCTTATGGTCTGTGAAATATAGGAAGGGTCCCATACAGGAGAGACAGATAGGACTGACTGAGGCAGAAAGAGAGAGACAGAAAGCCTCTTTCTTTCCACATCCTTGTGGACCATCAGGATGGGTGGACCTCACAGGACACAGGGGACACTGTCCCCATCACACAAACACACACAAACACACACACAGAGGCTGTGCACATGTCCTCATGGACCATGAAGATGCATGGACCTCAGAAGTCACTGGGACACTGTCCCCAAAACACACAGACACTGTGCCCACATCCTCATGGGCCATCAGGATGGCTGGACCTCACAGGACACAGGGGACACTGTTCCCATCACACACACGCACGCGCGCGCACACACACACACACACACACACAGAGACGCTGTGCCCACGTCCTCATGGACCATGAAGATGGGTGGACCTCAGAAGTTACTGGGGCACTGTCCCCAAAACACACAGATGCTGTGCCCACATCCTCATGGACCATCAGGATGGGTGGACCTCACAGGACACGGGGCACTGTTCCCATCACACACACAGAGGCTGTGCGCATGTCCTCATGGACCATCACGATGGGTGGACCTCACAGGACACACGGGCATTGCCCCCATCACTCACACAGAGGCTGTGCCACATCCTCATGGACCATCAGGATGGGTGGACCTCAAAGGACACACAGGCATAGTCCCCGTCACACACACAGAAGCTGTGTCACGTTCTCACGGACCATCAGGTTGGGAGGACCTCGGAAGTCAGTGGGGCACTGTTTTCATCACCCAAACAAATACTAGCCTAATTCGGAAAGAATTTCAGCAAAGCGAGACCGTTCTGAGACATTTCACAAACGTTTCACTTTTTCCATCTTTCTGTGGTTCTCTCAATAGATAGAAATTAGGAGCCTATTTATGGTAGGTCTAAAAAGAAATCTATTGGCAAGACGTCTACGCTTACCCGTGGGACGAGTTCAGTCCCTGCCTTCTAAATATCACTCCTGCAGCTCTGCCCTGAGTCACTCACATGCTGAAATGCAACCCCACCGCTCACCCGGCTTGCAAGACTGGTAGACCCTCTCCAGCAGCTGTGAGCATTTTCCATCCGCCCAGTCGTGGAGGATCCTGGCCAGGATGTACAAGTCTGCTTCCGGAAGACGGTCTTTGAAGAAATCCCCTGGAACATATGGCAGGCACCCCAACGTCAGCCCATAATCCAGCCCCATGTGACTAAACCCAGGTACCAAAGGTCAGCTGCACGGGTCATGCCTTCCCCGGGTCTTCCAGGCTAGTGACCTGCAGAGCGAGTCTTCAAAACCAAAAAGGCTCAGAAGGAAAATCAGAACATACTGAGTGATACGTGTGTCCTCTTTCTCTCCTTCTCCTTTGAAAAATCATGTTATTGGCAGGGCGCGGTGGCTCACACCTGTAATCGCAGCACTACCAAAGTGAAGCACGAGGTCAGGAGTTCGAGACCAGCCTGGTCAATGTGGGGAAACTCCATCTCTACTAGAAATACAAAAATTTAGCCAGGCATGGTGGCACATGCCTGTAATTCCAGCTACACATGAGGCTGAGGTCACAGGGTCACTTCTCAGCCTGGGAGGTGGAGGCTGCGGTGAGCTAATGGTCATATCACTGCTCTCCAGCCTGGGAGACAGAATCATACCCTGTCTCCAAAAAAAAAAAAAACGGTAGAAATGTGTTTTCTCTCGTTTCTACAAGCAGCTACTTAACTATTCTCAGTTCCGCCTCTGGGGCTGCAAAAGATACAATATTTATCCTGTGGATCGTTCTAGAAAAAGTCTGAAGATTCCGGTGAGAGTGGGTGGTGCTGCTCTGGGGAAGCCAGTTAGTAGGCTGGCATTTGCAATCAAAGCTGTTCGCTTAGTCAGTCGGTCACACCATCATATGGTCATTTGAAAGACTTCTTTTTTTTTTTTTTGAGACGGAGTTTCGCTCTTGTTTCCCAGGCTGGAGTGCAATGGCGTGATCTCGGCTCACCGCAACTTCCGCCTCCTGGGTTCAGGCAATTCTCCTGCCTCAGCCTCCCGAGTAGCTGGGATTACAGGCATGCGCCACCGTGCCCAGCTAATTTTTTGTATTTTTAGTAGAGATGGAGTTTCACCATGTTGACCAGGATGGTCTCGATCTCTTGACCTTGTGATCCACCTGCCTCGGCCTCCCAAAGTGCTGGGATTACAGGCATGAGCCACCACGCCCAGCTAATTTTTATATTTTTAGTAGAGATGGGGTTTCACCATGTTGGCCAGGCTGGTCTCAAACTCCTGACCTCAGGTGATCCGCCCGCCTCGGCCTCCCAAAGTGCTGGGATGACAGGTGTGAGCCACAGCGCCCTGCTAAAATGACTCCTTTTTTCTTTATTACTTTTTTTTTAGACGGAGTCTCACTCTGTCCCCCAGGCTGGAGTGCAGTGGCGTGATGGCGGCTCACTGCAACCTCCGCCTCCCAGGCTCAAGTGGTTCTCCTGCCTCAGCCTCCCGAGTAGCTGTGAGGCCCCAGGTGCCTGCAGTAAAGCCTCTCTAACTGGAGAGCTGAGGCGGGCAGATCACAAGGTCAAGAGTTTGAGACCATCCTGGCAAACATGGAGAAACCCCGTCTCTACTAAAAATACAAAAAAATTAGCCAGGCGCGGTGGTGCCGCGTGCCTGTAATCCCAGCTACTAGTGAGGCTGAGGCAGGAGAATCACTTGAACCCATGAGGTGGAGGCTGCAGTGAGCTGAGATTGCGCCACTGTGCTCCAGCCTGGGCGACAGAGCCAGAGTCTGTGCCAAAAAAAATAAAAATCAAAGAAGTCTTCAGACATGTCTATGCTTCCCCGAGAGACACAAACCCACCTTCCTGGAAGCCGATCTGCTCTTCCTCCGGGAGTGAGAGGTGCTCCTCTGCCGTCCTCACCACTTCTGGGAGGTCAAAAACGGTGATGTGACATCCAGGGTACAGACAAAGGCACTGCTTGGCCAGAGCCCCAGCCCCACCTGCGGTGAAGTGGACAAGGTGTGTTTGAGCCTCAGAGGTGAACCCATCAGACGCTGCTCACCCTCCATCCACCATGGACTCGTGAAGAATCCGACCTGGGACACTGGGTCCGTCCGCCGTGTCTGGGATGGATGGTAACGTGACTGCCTGCGGGCCCCTGAACTCGTCTGGTCTTCCTGGCTGCGCTGACCCACGTGGACGCTGAGTTACCGTGTGATCTTGTGGCTGGCGCAGCGGCCCAGCCAAGCACGGCCAACAGGTATGAAGGGCGCCGTGGCAAGGCCCAGGTACACGAAGTCCAAGGAGGACCACAGACAGCTCCGGCCCGTGCTCCTTCTCGGTGATTTTCTTCCCAAGCTCCTCCCCAGGCAAGGGGGACCTTGACCTCTATCATCTCCCTCTACTCACAGTGACTGATGGCCATCACCTTGAAGAAGCTCCCCACCCTGCAAAGAGCCTTCTACCAGCCAGGAGCTGCTCCGGGGACCCGTGCAGTAAGAGGACCACACAGGGCAGGGGGGTCACGGCCCAGAGCCTGACAGCTTTATGGGCTGGACGAGGTGCTCCAGGTGTGAGCTCAGGTTTGTGGGGTTTGTATTTGAAAAGCATGTCCAGTCAGGGTGCACTGGCTCACTCCTATAATCCCAGCACTTTGGGAGGCCGAGGCGGCGAGATCACCTGAGGTCAGGAGTTTGAGACCAGCCTGGCCAACATGGTTAAACCTCCTCTCTACTAAAAATACCAAACATTAGCCGGGTGTCGTGGTGGGTGTCTGTAATCCCAGCTACTCAGGAGGCTGAGGCAAGAGGATCACTTGAACATGGGAGGTGGAGGTTGCGGTGAGCTGCACTCCAGGCTGGCGACAGAGCGAGACTTCATCTCAAAAAAGAACAGAAAAGAGAAGTGAAGGGGAGGGGAGGGGAGGGGAGGGGATGGGAGGGGAGGTCAGAACCCATCAGCAACAGAACAAGCCCTGATGGAAAAGGACTCATCAGCAACCGAACAAGCCCTGATGGAAAAGGACTCATCAGTAACGGAACAAGCCCTGATGGAAAAGGACTGTGTTCCATTATCTGAAGTAGGCTTTAAAAGGTGGATGATAAGAAACTTCTGGGAGTTAAAGGAACTCGTTCTAACCCAATGTAAAGAAACTAAGAACTTGGAAAAAAGGTTAGATGAAATGTTGAAAAGAATAGACAATATAGAGAGGAATATAAATGAACTTATGGAGTTGAAAAATACAACACGAGAACTTAGTGAAACATGTACAAGCTTAAACAGCCGAATGGATCAAGCAGAAGAAAGGGTATCAGCGGTCGAAGATCAACTTAATGAAACAAAACAACAAGACAAGAATAGAGAAAAAAGGATAAAAAGGAATGAGCAAAGTCTCCAAGCAATATGGGACTATGTGAAAAGACCTAATATACGCTTGATTGGTGTACCTGAATGTGACGGAGAGAATGAATTCAAGCTGGAAAATACTCTCCAGGACATTATCCAAGAAAATTTTCCTAATTTAGCAAAGCAGGACACTATTCAAACCCCAGGCAATACAGAGAACACCACAAAGATATTCCTCAAGAAGACCAACCCCAAGGCACATAATCGTTAGATTCACCAAGATCGAAACGAAGGAGAAAATATTAAGGGCAGCCAGAGAGAAAGATCAAGTTACCCATGATGGTAAGCCTATTAGGCTTACAGCAGATGTCTCAACGGAAATCTTACAAGCTAGAAGAGAGTGGGGGCCAATATTCAATATACTTAATCAACAGAACTTTCAGCCCAGAATTTCATATCCTGCCAATTTAAGCTTTACATTTGAAGGAAAAATAAACTTTTTAGGAACAAGCAAGTACTCAGAGATTTATTACCACCAGGCCTGCTTTACAAGAACTTCTAAAAGAAGCATTATACACAGAAAGGAACAACCAGTATGACCCTTTCTAAAAATACACCAAAAAGTAAAGAGCATTAACATAAAGAAGAATTTTTATCAACAAAAGGACAAAATAGCCAGTTAATATCAAACGGCAGCAACCCTAAATTTAAATCGACCAAATCTCCCAATCAAAAGATATAGACAAAATCTAACGGTATATCCAAAGATATACATAGACTCAAAATAAAGCGTTGGAAAAAAAAACGTACCAACCAAATGGAGAGCAAAAATAAATAAATAAAAAGCAGGAGCTGCAATTTTCACATTTGACAAAATAGATTTCAAAGCTACAAGGATAAAAGGATTAATGTAATAATAAGAGATCTTAACACCCAGATACATAAGACCCATAATGAGATTTAGATTCAACGAGACAGAAAATTGATAACGATATCCGGGACTGGAACTAAGATCCAGAACAAATAAACTCAATAGAGCTCTCCATTTTAAACACATAAAATATACATTATCCACAAAATCTAACCATATATCTAAAGATATACAAAGACTCAAAACAAGGGGATGGAAAAAAATTCACCAACCAAATGGAGAGCAAAAATAAATAAATAAAAAGCAGGAGTTGCAATTCTCACACTTAATAAAATAGATTTCAAAGCTACAAGGATGCAAGGGTAAAAGGATTAATGCAACAATAAGAGATCTTAACACCCAGATACATAAGACACATAATGAGATTTAGATTCAACGAGACAACAAATTGATAACGGTATTCAGGACTTGAACTCAGAGCCAGAACAAATAAACACAATAGAGGTCTCCATTTTAAACACATAAAATATGCATTAACCACTTTAAACACTCAAAATATTGATCTGCCATTATTGAAACCCATTTTAGGAATGAAGTAATATTCCTTTTTCCCTCTTTTTAAAAAAAAAAAAAAAAAGAACAGAAAAGAGAAGTGAAGGGGAGGGGAGGGGAGGGGAACAGAGGGGAGGGGAGGAGATGGGAGGGGAGGGGAGGGGAAGGGAGGAAAGCGGAACAGAGGGGAGGGGAGGGAGGGGAGGTAGGGGATGGAAAGGGAGGGGAGGGGAGGGGAGGAGAGGGGAACAGAGGGAGGGGAGTGAGGGGATTGAAAGGGAGGGGAGGGAAGGGGAACCGAGGGGAAGGAAAGAGAGGGGAGGGGAGGGGAAGAGAGGGGAGGGGAGGAGAAGAGCGGGGAGGGAAGGGAGGGGAATGCAGGGGAGGGGAGGGGAATGGAGGGGAAGGGAAGGGCATGGAGGGGAGGGGAGGGGAGGGGAGGGGAATGGAGGGGAGGGGAGGGAGGGAGGGGAATGGAGGGGAGGGGAGGGGAATGGAGGGGAGGGGAATGGAGGGGAGGGGAATGGAGGGGAGGGAAGGGGAGGGGAGGGGAGGAAAGGGCACCCAGCCTGGGAGTTTAAGGCTGCAGTGAGCTATCATCACACCACTGCACTCCAGCCTGGGTGACAAAAATTTTTTATAAGAAAACTTGTATTGAATGAATAAGCAAAGGCTATTCTCGAAAAAAAAAATGCGGAAAATAAAGGGACACTATGAACACACTCTCCATACAGAACAAGAGAAACAGGTCTGAGGTTTTCTGCGTGGAGGATACTTACCACCGAGGTCGCACACGAGCGGGAACAGAGACAGGTCGAACGCGGTGAGCACGCTTCTCCGTGCACGCTCCACACCTCCAGCAGAGCTTGCATGAACTGCACTCGCTCGCCCCTCGGACCTGCTGTGCAGAAGCAAGCTTGTAAAAGGTGGCGAAGATTCAGGCAAGCGTCCAGAGCAGAGACGTGGAGAACCCCTGCCAAGAACAGAGCTGTGTGCCACGCCGGTGCTCCTGGCAGTCTTGCATACTTGTGCCACGTGGGTGCGCCTGGCAGCCTTGCATGTGACACAGAGAGATAAGTGACTGGAGACGGGGGAACCCTAGGTCAGCCACCAAAATGTACCCAGTTCCGGGAGAACCTGGAGTCCCATCAGAACAGACCATAGTTCTCTGGAAGCCACCATCGGTATAGATTTCTATCCGAAGAGGAGTTAGGATGTTTACTGTGGGAAGCAGAAAAGGTCCTTTTTAAAGTTTCCTGTCTTGTTAAGGAGTAAGTGTGTTGGCCGGGCGCGGTGGCTCACGCCTGTAATCCCAGCACTTTGGGAGGCCGAGGCAGGTGAATTTCAAGAACAGGAGATCAAGACCATCCTGGCCAACATGGTGAAATCCCGTCTCTACTAAAAATACAAAAATTAGCTGGGCATGGTGGCGCTCGCCTGTAATCCCAGCTACTTTGGAGAGGCTGAGGCAGGAGAATTGCCTGAACCCAGGAGGCGGAGGTTGCAGTGAGCCGAGATCGCGCCATTGCACTCCAGCCTGGGTAACAAGAGCGAAACTCTGTCTCAAAAATAATAATAATAATAATAATAATAACTGTGCTAATAACTCTCTGTGAAGCCCCATCCTACGTAGCTGTTAGACACGCCGAGCTCACAGGCACGTAGGACATTCTACGTCCTTGTACTTTCACCGAGATATCTGAGCTGGACGTGCTCACAGGCGGGTCCCAGCTCTCCGTGGCTGTCACCTGTTTAGAAAAGTTTTAAGTTGTCAGCCAGTCGGGTTTTAGTTTAAATGCTGAGGTCTGGCTCAGGCCCACGGAGCTCAGACACGGCAGGAAGGACGACCCCACGTGCGTCAGGGATACATGTGTGTGTTTTCCTTTGTTCATTGTACTCTCGTGGCACGATGGCTAGTGAGGGTCCCCTCCCTGCTGCCCGGGAAGTAAAAACTGCGTTGCTGAGGGATCCTCTGTCTCAGGGCTGATGTTTCTTTGCCACACTGAGCGTCTATTTCCAACATTTAAGAAGAAAGTCAATAATATGTCCCCCCACCGACCCACCCACAGAGCTCAGCTCCAGAGGACGAATCCGGGAAGTGGGGGAGTCTTCACATCCTGGGGCATGGGTCCCAGAAAGTGGGAATTCAGGTTGGGGAGAGGAGGTTAGAGAAAAGGCAGAATGGCCAGGCAAGGTGGCTCACACCTGTAATCCCAGCACTTTGGGAGGCTGCGGCGGGCAGATCACCTGAGGTCAGGAATTCGAGACAAGCCTGGCCAACATGGTGAAACCCCATCTCTACTAAAAAGAACAATATTTAGCTGGATGTGGTGCTGTGCACCTGTTGTCCCAGCTACTTGGGAGGCTGAGCAGGAGGAATCAGTTGAACCCAGGAGGCAGAGGTTGCAGTGAGCTGAGATCACACCATTGCACTCCAGCCTGGGTGACAGAGCGACACTTCATCTAAAAAAAAAAAAAAGAGAGAGAGAGAGACAGAAAAGGCAGAAACTAGGAATGAAGGAAGGTGAGATGGAGGCAGGAAGGATGGGTGGACACAGAGGCGGACAGAGCTGTGGTGTCGGGAGGGTTCTTCCTTCTCCTCCCCAGAGCTCCTGGGACTGCTGACCTCGTGGTCCACCCACCTCGGCCTCTCAAAGTGCTGGGATTACAGGCATGAACCATCACTCCCGGCCTTTTTTTTTTTTTTTTTTAAACGGAGTCTTGCTAAGTGTCCAGGCTGGGTACAGTGGTGCCGTATCAACTCACTGCAACCTCAGACTCCCATGTTTAAGTGGGTCTCCAGCCTGATCCTCCTGAGTAGCTGGGATTACAGGCACTCACCACCACGCCCAGCTAATTTTTGTATTTTTAGTATAGATGGGGTTTCTCCAGGTTGGCCTGGCTGGTCTCAAACTCCCGACCTCAGGTGATCCACCCACCTCGGCCTCCCAAAGTGCTGGGATTACAGGCGTGAGACCCCGCATCCGGCCAAATAAACACACGTGAGTTGGTTTTGAAGTGACGGAGTACCGGTAGATGGCTGTAAAACGCTCTTCTGCGGGAACTCCGAAGGTCCGCAGATACTGGTTCTTGCCCTTCTCTAAGAAATAGAGAGAAAACAGTGCTGCAATGTGCATTCGTGTGCATGTGTCCTTATAGTAGAACAATTATAATCCCTGGATATATACCCAGTCATGGGATTGCTGGGTCAATTGGAATTTCTATTTCTAGGTCCTTGAGGAATCGCCACACCGTCTTCCACAATGGTTGAACTAATTTACACTCCCACCAGCAGTGTAAAAGTGTTCCTATTTCTCCACATTCTCTCCAGCATCTGTTGTCTCCAGATTTTTTAATGATCGCCATTCTAACTGGTGTGAGATGGTATCTCAATGTGGTTTTGATTTCCATTTTTCATCGATGATAGACTGGACAGGGAAAATGTGGCACATATACACCATGGAATATTATGCAGCCATAAAAAATGATGACTTCATGTTCTTTGCAGGGACATGGATGAACCTGGAAACCATCATTCTCAGCAAACTGACCCAAGAACAGAGAACCAAACACCACATGTTCTCACTCATAGGCGGGTGTTGAACAATGAGAACACATGGACACAGGGAGGGGAGCATCACACACTGGGGTCTGTTGGAGAGAAATAGGGGACGGACAGTGCGGGATGAGGAGTTCGGGAGAGATAGCATGGGGAGAAATGCCAGATATAGGTGAAGGGGAGGAAGGCAGCAAATCACACTGCCATGTGTCTACCTATGCAACTATCTTGCATGTTCTTCACATGTACCCCAAAACCTAAAATGCAATTAAAAAATTAAAAAGAAAAGAGAGAAAAGGCTGTTGCCTGTTTCAATCTGAAGACGAACTCTGATCTTTTTCTTCCTTGCCCAAATTCCTATCTAAGGGGCCTGTGGAGTCACCCCTTATAAACCATAACGTCTCATAAAATGGATTTTATTTTATTTTATTTTAGAGACAGAGTCTCGCTCTGTCACCCAGGCTGGAGTGCAATGGTGCAATCTCAGCTCTCCATAAACAACCTCTGCCTCCCAGGTTCAAGTGATTCTCCTGCCTCAGCCTCCTGAGTAGCTGGGATTACAGGCATCCGCCACCACACCCCAGTAATTTTTGTATTTTTAGTAGAGACGGGGTTTCACCAAGTTGGCCAGGCTGGTCTTGAACTCCTGACCTCACGCGATCCACCCGCCTCGGCCTCCCAAAGTCCTGGGATATCAAGTGTGAATCACTGCACCAGGCCTACCATTACTTTTAATGGCAAAAAAAAAAAAAAAAACAATTACATTGTTTGTTTTTGAGATGGAGTCTCATTCTGTCTCCCAGGCTGGAGTGCAGTGGTGAGATCTTGGCTCACTGCAACCTCCACCTCCCGAATTCAAGTGATTCTCTTGCCTCAGCCTCCCGAGTAGTTGGGATTATAGGTCCCCACCACCGTGCCAGGCTGATTTTTGTATTTTTGGTACAGTGTTTCACTATGTTGCCCAGGCTGGTCTCAAACTCCTGACCTCTGGTAATCCACCCGCCTCAACCTCCCAAAGTGCTGGAATTACAGACGTGAGCCACTGCACATGGCGTAAAAACTCAACTACCTGTGCACCAGCCTAGAACAATTCAAGCCACCCCTGTTCTGAATCCTCTTCCTTCTCTTCCTTTCTCCTTCTGCCAAAGCAGCACGAATGACTTTCACCTGGGGGCACATCCCTGCACATCCCAGCAGAAACGGGTGAGCTCTGTCAGCCAACACCAAGTCATTTCTGCCACCTGCTCTGGGTGAGCAATTCTAGCAAGGTCATGTTTGCTCCTGCAGGAAACCTGCCATTTTACCTCCTCCAGGCGCTCACCTGCAATGCCAGCACTTTGGGAGGCCAAGGCAGGCAGATCACTTGAGGTCAGGAGTTCGAGACCAGCGTGGCCAACATGGCAAAACCCCTCTTTAGTAAAAATACAAAAGTTAGCTGGGTGTGGTGGCGGGTGCCTGTAATCCCAGCTACTCATGAGGCCAAGACGAGAGAATCTTTTTTTTTTTTTTTTATTAGAGTTTCGCTCTTTTTGCACAAGCTGGAGTGCAATGGCGTGATCTCGGCTCACTGCAACCTCCACCTCGCAGATTCAAGCGATTCTCCTGTCTCACCCTCCCAAGTAGCTGGGATTACAGGCATGCACCACCACGCCTGGCTAATTTTTGTATTTTTACTAGAGACGGGGTTTCTCCACGTTAGTCACACTGGTCTCGAACTCCCCGCCTCGGGTGATCCATCCGCCTCGGCCTCCCAAAGTGCTGGGATTACAGGCGTGAGCCATCGCACCTGGCCAGGAGAACCTCTTGAACCCAGGAGGTGGAGGTTGCAGTGAGCCCCTTCACGAGCCCCCCAGGGGGAGTCCTGAGACTCGGTCACTGCCTGGATACAATCCCTACCTCACAGCCTGTGCCAGGTGGCCCCAGCAATGGTAAGTGGTCCTGGCCATGTACAGCAGCATACTGCACTGTGAGGTCGGGCTGACCCTGCTCAGGTAGACTCTGGACATCTCCGTGTTCCCATAGAAAGCTGAAAAACACACAAAGAAAATGGAGAAAAAGCAGTGAGATTCCAAGTCCCTGCTGGGCGGACGCTCCCCAGCACGCCAGCACGGAGACTTCCACATAATCTTCACCTGGGAGCGCCGACGCCCCTACCTACATCCAGGGGCTTCTACGGAAGGCACAAAGGGGACCCCGGGCAGCTGGCACCCCAAGTGGGTTCAGCTTCTACAAATCCCATTGAGAGTTTGGGTGGAGCGAGTACAAACGAAGATGAGCCATAAGAGAAAACACATCATATTCCACAGAACGTTTAAAATAACTTAGTGACCCCAGGCACGGTGGCTCACACCTGTCATCCCACCCCTTTGGGAGGGCGAGGCGGACAGATCACTTGAGGTCAGGAGTTCGAGACCAGGCTGGCCAACATGGCGAAACCCCGTCTCTACTAAAAATGCCAATATTAGCCAGGCGTGGTGGTACATGCCTGTAGTGTCAGCTTCTCGGGAGGCTGAGGCAGGAGAATCATTTGAGTCCAGGAGGTGGAGACTACACAGTGACCCGAGATCGTGCCACTGCACTCCCGCCTGGGCGGCAGAGTGAGACTCCATCCCCCTCCCCCTGCCAAAAAAAAAAAGATATACTAGAGAAAGAAGTCAAATAGTCAAATATGCATTTCGGCCAGGCGAGGTGGCTCATGCCTGTAATCCCAGCCACTTTAGATTCTGGGGCAGGAAAATCGCTCGAACCCGGGAGCCAGAGGTTGCAGTGAGCCGAGATTGTGCCACTGCACTCCAGCCTGGGCAACAAGACTGAAACTTATCTCACAAAAAAAATAAAAATAAACAAAAAATCCAGCCAACCCTATCATTCACATAAATGGCGGGTTTTTGTTCTTGATTTTCTTTTTTTCTTTTTTTTTTTTTTTTTGAGACGGAGTTTCGCTCTTGTTACCCAGGCTGGAGTGCAATGGCGCGATCTCGGCTCACCGCAACCTCCGCCTCCTGGGTTCAGGCAATTCTCCTGCCTCAGTCTCCCGAGTAGCTGGGACTACAGGTGCGCACCACCATGCCCAGCTAATTTTTTGTATTTTTAGTAGAGACGGGGTTTCACCATGTTGACCGGGATGGTCTCGATATCTTGACCTCATGATCCACCCGCCTCGGCCTCCCAAAGTGCTGGGATTACAGGCGTGAGCCACCACGCCCGGCCCTGGATTTTTCTTTTGACACAGGGTCTTCCTCTGTTGCCGAGGCTGGAGTGTAGTGGTATGATCACAGCTCTCTGAAGCCTCGAACCCCTGGGCTCAGGCGATCCTCCCGCCTCAGCCTTTTGCTGAGGTAGTTAGGACCACAGGCTCGTGCCGCATGCCTGGCTAAGTCTGTATTTTTTGTAGAGATGGGATCTTGCTATGTTGCCCTGGCTCATCTTGAACTCCTGGGCTCAAGCAATCCTCCTGCCTCAGCCTTGAGAGTAGCTGGAACCACACTTGTGTACCACCACCCCCAGTTAATGTTTGTATTTTTTTTTTCTTGAGATAGAGTCTTGTTCTGTCACCCAGGCTGCAGTGGCGCGATCTCCGCTCACTGCAACCTCCACCTCCCAGGTTTAAGCAATTGTCTGCCTCCGCCTCCTGAGTAGCTGGGATTACAGGCGCCCACCACCACGCCCAGCTAATTTTTGTATTTTTATTAGAGTCAGGGTTTCACCATATTGACCAGGATGGCCTCTATCTCCTGAGTTCAAGTGATTCCCCTGCCTCAGCCTCCCAACTAGCTGGGATTACAGACTCATGCCACCACGCCTAGATAATTTTTTTTTTTTTTTTTTGTATTTTGGTATAGATGGGGTTTCACCATGTTGACCAGGATGATCTCAATCTCCTGACGTCGCGATCTGCCTGCTTCGACCTCACAAAGTGCTGGGATCACAGGTATGAGCCACCATGCCCGGCCAGTTTTTGTATTTTTTTAATTAGAGAAGGGATTTCACTGTGTTGGCCAGGCTGGTCTCGAACTGCCGACCCCAGGTGATCCGCCCGCCTTGGACTCCCAAAGTGCTGGTAGGCACCGCTCCCGACCTGGGAGCTTTTACAGAACACGTGGGACGCCGAGGGTGCCCACTTACACGGCCTCCTCCAAAGCGCCCGTGTCCTCACCTTGTCCTCCCCTCATCTCCACCTCCAGCAGCTTCAGGGACACGCAGGCGTCCAGCAGGCGCTCCATGGCGTGGGAGCTGGCTCCCACTCCTGCAGCCACGGCAGCCACGGCCAGGGGCCCTGGGGCCTCTGCGAGGAGGTCAAACACTCCCAGCTCACAGGCAGCAAAGAGAACCTTCCGGAAGGGACAGAAATAAAAGGTCAGCACTCAGCCTCTTGGGAACCAGAGTTGTAGAAACGCACGCCATGTCGGGCTGGGGAGGGAGGTGTTTTTAATTTTTATTTTTGTTTATTTATTTATTTTTTAAATTGCATTTTAGGTTTTGGGGTACATGTGCAGAACATGCAAGACATTTGCATAGGTACACACATGGCAGTGTGTTTTGCTGCCTTCCTCCCCTTCACCCATATTTGGCCCTTCTCCCCAGGCTATCCCTCCCAGGCTATCCCTCCCCAGGCTATCCCTCCCCAGCTCCCCCCCCTCCCCAGGCTATCCCTCCCCAGGCTATCCCTCCCCAGGCTATCCCTCCCCAGCTCCCCCCCCCCCAGGCTATCCCTCCCCAGCTCCCTCCCTCCCCAGCTCCCCCCCTCCCCAGGCTATCCCTCCCCAGGCTATCCCTCCCCAGCTCCCCCCTCCCCAGCTCCCCCCCTCCCCAGGCTATCCCTCCCAGGCTATCCCTCCCCAGGCTATCCCCCAGGCTATCCCTCCCCAGCTCCCCCTCTCCCCAGGCTATCCCTCCCCAGGCTATCCCTCCCCAGCTCCCCCCTCCCCCCGCTGTCCCTTGTCTATTTATTTTTGAGACATAGTCAAATGAGACTATACCACTATGGAAAACAGGCATTTTTATTTTTACTCATCTTTTAAAAATCATTGATTTTGGGGGGGAACGGAGTCTCACTCTGTCTCCCAGGCTGGAGTGCAGTGGCGTGATCTCGGCTCAGCGTAACCTCCACCTCCCGGGTTCAAGCAACACTTCTGCCTCAGGCTCCAGAGTATCAGGGATTACAGGCACGCGCCACCATGCCCTGCTAGTTTGGGTATTTTTAATGGAGATGGGCTTTCTCACCATGTTGGCCATGCTGGTCTCGAACTCCTGACCTCAGGTGATCCACACACCTCAGCCTCCTAAAGTGCTGGGATTATAGGCGTGAGGCACTGCGCCCGGCCTGGACGCAATTCTTAGCACCTGATAAGACTTGAGTCTGTATAACAAGCGTATTTTCAACCTTATGATCAGTTTATCAAGATAGTAAATGCTTTTCTTTCTCTTTTCTTTTTTTTTTTTTTTTTTTTGATGGAGTGTCGCTCTTGTAGCCCAGGCTGGAGTGCAATGGCCCAATCTCAGCTCACCTCAACCTCCACCTCCTGGGTTCAAGTGATTCTCCTGTGTCAGCCTCCTGAGTAGCTGAGATTACAGACATGCATCACCACACCCAGCTGATTTTGTATTATTTATTTATTTATTTATTTGAGACAGAGTTTCACTCTTGTTGCCCAGGCTGGAGTGCAATGGCGCGATCTCGGCTCACCGCAGCCTCTGCTTCCTGGGTTCAAGCAATTCTCCTGCCTCAGCCTCCTGAGTAGCTGGGACTACAGACGCGCACCACCATGCCCAGCTAATTTTTGTATTTTTAGTAGGGACGGGGTTTCACCATGTTGACCGGGATGGTCTCGATCTCTTGACCTCGTGATCCACCCGCCTCAGCCTCCCAAAGTGCTGGGATTACAGGCCTGCGCCACCGCGCCCGGCTTGATTTTGTATTTTTGCCGGGGTTTCTCTATGTTGGTCAGGCTGGTCTCAAACTCCCAGCCTCATGTAATCTGCCCGCCTTGGCCTCCCAAAGTGCTGGGATTACAGGCGTGAACCACAGCACCCGGCAGATTATTTTAATTTCAATTGAATTTTCATATCTAGCTGTAGGGTACATGTACAGTGTGTGCAGGTTTGTTACATTTGTAAAGGTGTGCCGTGGTGGTTTGCCACTCAGATCAATTAATCACCTAGGTATCAAGCCCAGCATGTATTAGCTTTTTTTCTGATGCTCTCCCACCTCCTGCCCCCGCAAACGGGTCCAGTGTGTGATGTTCCCCTCCCTGTGGCCATGTGTTCTCATTCTTCAACTCCCGCTTATCAGTGAGAACATGTGGTATTTGGTTTTCTGCTCCTGTGTTATTTGCTGGGGATAATGGCTTCCAGCTCCATCTGTGTTCCTGCAAACAACATGATCTCGTTCCTTTTCATGGGTGTATAGTATTTCACAATGTATATCTACCACATTTTCTCTCTCCAATCTATCCTTGATGGGCATTTGGGTGGTGACCATTGTTCCTTCTGTCTTTATAAATTTGTTTATTCTAGATTAAACTGTGACATGTATATTGCAGTTTATATGTATACAAATTATACATATATAATATAATAATGTAATATATATTATATAGATAAAATAGTATATATAAAATATGTGGTATCATGTGCACTGAAGTGACTTTTCTCCCAAGATTTGGAACCCACGTGTGTGTGATGTTCCCCTCCCTCTGTCCCTATGTTCTCACTGTTCAACACCCACTTATGAGTGAGAACATGTGGTGTTTGGTTTTCTGTCCTTGTGTGAGTTTGCTTAGAATGATGGTTTCCAGCTTCATCCCTGTCCCTGCAAAGGACGTGAACTCATCCTTTTTCATGGCTGCATAGTATTCCATGGTGTCTATGTGGCACATTTTCTTTATCTAGTCTATCACTGATGGGAATTTCTTAGGGGAGGAATAGCAGGAGGTGGGGGGCTAGGGGAGGATTAGCAGCGGATGGGGGATTGGTGAGGGAGAGCATTAGGAGCAACACCTAACAGAGATGATGGGGGGACGGATGCAGCAAACCAGCATGGCATGTGTGTACCTATTAACAGTCCTGTATGATCTGCACATGGACCCCAGAACTTAAAGTATTATTAATAATTTTTTTTTAAAGAAAGAACCCAACAAACCACCCCCCTGAACACCACTGTGAACCACTGGCTGGCTTTGAACCAGCGGTCAGCAGCCCCAGCGGGCCGCAGGTGTTCAAACGAGGCAAAGGCAGGCTGCTGTTAGCACACTTACTGTTCAACAGGAAAGGAAACTTCAAAAAGGAACTTTTCTACTTCCCACAATGTCTCAGGTCTCCCCAAAGTGTATAAAACCAAGCCACGCCCCGACCACCTTGGGGATATGGTCTCAGGACCCCCTGAGGCTGTGTCACGGGTGCACACCTTTAACGTGGGCTAATAAACCTGCTAAAATGATTGACACTCGTCATTTTTCCTGATCGATGCTCCCAATAGTGGAACATGAGTGTGATGAACGGAAGTCTATCCCCTCCTCCACGTCGCACACAGGATAGCTGTGGGAAGCACAAAGGTTCCTTCTTAAAGTTTCCTTTCTTGTTAAAGAATAAGTGTGCTAATAACTCTCTGTGAAGCCCCATCCTATGTGGCTGTTAGACACTCGAGCTCACAGGCACGTAGGACATTCTACGTCCTTGTACTTTCACCGAGATATCAGAGCTGGACGTGCTCACAGGCGGGTCCCAGCTCTCCGTGGCTGTCACCTGTTTAGAAAAGTTTTAAGTTTTCAGCCAGTCGGGTTTTAGTTTAGATGCTGAGGTCTGGCTCCGGCCCAAGGAACTCAGACATGGCAGGAAGGACGACCCCACATGCGTCAGGGATACATGTGTGTGTTTTCCTTTGTTCATTGTACTCTCGTGGCACGATGGCCAGCGAGGGTCCCCTTCCTGCAGCCCTGGATGTAAAAACTGCCTTGCTAAGGGATTCTTTGTCTCGGTGCTGATGTTTCTTTGCAGCACCGAGTCTGTGTCCAGCATCTATTTGCAGAAATGTCCTACCTGTGACACCATGAAGCCGTTTGCGTAGTCAGTGAGGAGGCGATAGCAGTGATCCTCCGAGGAACTCATGTTCTCTGCAATCCAGCAGTGGCCTCCGGAGTCCCCGCAATGTTTGCTTCAAGGCGCACGGAGCCTGCTACCAAGCTGGTAACAGCCTGCCAGCCACCTGCTCACGGAGGCTGCCTGAAGCTCCCTGCCAGCTGCCCAGTAATGAAACAAACACAGATCGCTCCAGAAATTTCCATTAAGCTTATTAGGGGATCAGGAAGCGTGTGGGAATTCCCTGGCTTCTTGCGTACGTTTCTGCAGCCCTAAATAATCTCCATGAATCCTTGAGTCATCGGGTGGAGAACTCATCCCAAACCAATAAGCTCAGCGGTCACGAGCCCGAAGTAATCGTCTTAGGGATTGAACAGGTTCTGTGTTCATTTGTGGGGCTCCTGTGAATTTCCACTAACTGGCTGGCTCAAAACCCAGTTCTCCCACAGTTCCAGAGGCTGGAAGACCAATAGCAAAATGTCAGCAGCCCAGCCTGGGAAACATACTGAGACCCATTCTTTTTTTTGAGACAGAATCTCACTCTGTCACCCCAGGCTGGAGTGCAATGGCAAGATCTCCGTTCACTGCAACCTCCACTTCCTGGGTTCAAGCAATTCTCCTGCCTCAGCCTCCTGGATAGCTGGGATTACAGGCATGCACCACCACGCCCAGCCATTTTTCAGGTTTTTAGTAGAGATAGGATTTCACCATGTTGGTCAGACTGGTCTCAAACTCCTGACCTCAAGTGATCCATCCGCCTCGTCCTCCCAAAGTGCCGGGATTACAGGTGTGAGCCACCACACCTGGCTAATTTTTCAATTCTTTGTACATATGGGGGTCTCACTACGTTGCCAAGGCTGGTCTCAAACGCCTGACCTCAGGGGATCCTCCCACTGGACGGTTCGGTGGCTTATAATCCCAGCACTTTTGGAGACCGAGGCGGGTGAATCACCTGAGGCCAGGAGTTCAAGACCAGCCTGGTCAACATGGCAAAACCCCATCTCTACATAAAATACAAAAAGATTAGCAGAGCATGATGGCGCACAGCTAGGATTCCAGCTACTTGGGAGACTGAAGTAGGAGAATCGCTAGAACTCGGGAGGCGGGGGGTTGCAGTGAGCAGAGATTGCGTCACTGCACTCCAGCCTGGTTGACAGAGTGAGACTCTGCCTCAAAAAAAAAAAAAAAATCGTCCCACTTCAGCCTAGACGTCTTGCAACTTTTATTTGGACAATTGAAATGCCTGCATATAATTAAAATGTGACCGTGGCAGGTCTCTGCCCCATTTCTGAGGACATGTGTCATGTTGTGGGGGGTGAAGAAAAGGTTCATAGTATGAGCTCAGCTCCATCTTGTCAAGAATGCCTGTTTGTTTTGTGGTTGGATAGAAAGTGGAGTGTAATATACCCAGAGTGATTTTCTAGGGGAAGGATATAAGTACAGGCTTGGCCGCGCATGGTGGCTCAAGCCTGTCATCCCAGCAATGTAAGAGGCTGAGGTGGGCAGATCACCTGAGGTCGGGAGTTCGAGACCAGCCTGGGCAACATGGCGTAACCCTGTCTCTACTAAAAGTACAAAAATTAGCCTGGCGTGGTGGCACGTGTCTGTAATCCCAGCACTTTGGGAGGCTGAGGCGGGTGGATCAGTTAAAGTCAGGAGTTCGAGACTAGCCTGGGCAACATGATGAAAACCTATCTCTACTAAAAATACAAAAATTAGCTGGACATGATGGCTGTCCCCTGTCATCCGAGGTACTTGGGAGGCTGAGGCAGGAGAGTCTTTTGAACCCGGGAGGCAGAGGTTGCAGTGAGCCGAGATCGCACCACTGCAAAAATTAGCCGGGCGTGGTGGCTCACATCTGTCATCCCAGCACTTCGGGAGGCCAAGGCAGGAGGATCACTTGAGGTCAGGAGATGGAGACCAACCTGGTTAACACGGTGAAACCCCATCTCTACTAAAAATACAAAAATTAGCCGGGCGTGGTGGCGTGTGCCAATAATCTCAGCTACTCAGGAGGCTGAAGCAGGAGAATCATTTGAACCCGGGAGGTGGAGGTTGCAGTGAGCCGAGATCGCAGCAGCCTGGGCAACAGAGTGAGACTCTGTCTCCAAAATAACTAAATAATAAATAAAAATAAATAATAAATTAGCATGTCCTTGAAGTTTAGGGCAATGAAGCATCCTCGGGGGCACTTTACCAGGGGACAGAAGGGGCTGGCCTCCGATCCCATGTGCTTAATGTAACCCCACAGTGACTCAGGAGATCAAGTCCCTGCCTGCTGCTGTCGGATTTCGCAGGGATCTCAGTTAAGGCGATTGCCTTAGGGATTGAGAAGGGCTGAGAACACAGTCGTGTCGGAGGGGAGCCTTTTCCAAAGCTCACGAACAGACACGCTTCAAAAGAAGACACGCACGTGGCTAGGAGGCATGTCTATCAGTCCGTTTTCCTGCTATTGATAAACACATCCCCAAGACTGTGTCATTTATAAAGAAAACAGACTTTAGCCAGGCGCGGCGGCTCACACCTGTCATCCCAGCACTTTGGGAGGCCGAGGCGGCAGATCACCTGAGGTCAGGAGTTCAAGACCAGCCTGACCAACATGGTGAAACCCTTTCTCTACCAAAAATTAAAAAAAAAAAAAAATTAGGCACAGTGTCTCACACCTGTAATCCCAGCTACTTGGGAGGCTGAGGCTGCAGAATCCCTTGAATTCGGGAGGCGGAGGTTGCAGTGAGCCAAGATCGTGCCACTGCAGTCCAGCCTGTTCAACAAGAACAAAACTCCATCTCAAAACAAAAAGAGAGAAAAAGAGATTTAATGGACTCACAGTTCCACATGGCCGGGGAGGCCACGCAATCATGTTGGAAGTCAAGGAGGATGAAAGGCATGTCTTATATGGCGGCAGGCAAGGGAATGTGTGCAGGGGAACTGCCCTTTATAAAACCATCATATCTCAGCTGCGCTCAGGCTCACATGTGTAATCCCAGCACTTTAAGAGGCTGAGGCGGGTGGATCGCCTGAGGTCATGAGCTTGAGACCAGCCTGGCCAACATGGAGAAACCCCATCTCTACTAAAAATACAAAAAATTAGCCCGGCATGGTGGCAGACGCCTGTAATCCCAGCTAATCGGGAGACTGAAGCAGGAGAATCGCTTGAACCCGGGAGGCGGAGGTTGCAGTGAGCTGAGATGGCGCCATTGCACTCCAACCTGGGTAACAAGAGTGAAACTCCGTCTCAAAAAATAAATAAATAAATAAAACCATCAGATCCCATGAGACTATTTCAGTATCATGAGAAGAGCAGAGAAAAGACCAGCCCTCCCACAGGATTCAATTACCTCTCACATGGGAATTGTGGGAGTTACAATTCAACATGAGTTTTGGGTGGGGACGCAGCCTGACCATGTAACGTATGAAACAAGGGCCAGCATCACTGATCATCAGGGACACCCACATCAAAACCAGACCAAGGCCGGTCGCGGTGCCTCACACCTGTCATCCCAGCGTTTCGGGAGGCCAAGGCGGGCGGATCACCTGAGGTGGAGAGTTCGAGACCAGCCTGGGCCACGTGGTGAAACCCTGTCTCTACTAAAAATACAAAGATTAGCCGGGTGTGGTGGAGTGCACCTGTAATCCCAGCACTTTGGGAAGCTAAAGCGGGTGAATCACCTGAGGTCTCAAGTTCAAGACCAGCCTGACTGACATGGAGAAATCCCATCTCCACTAAAACAGATGCAAAATTAGCCGGCCATGATAGTGGGTGCCTGTAATCCCAGCTACTCCAGAGGCTGAGGCAGGAGAATCGCTTGAACCCGGGAGGCGGAGTTTGCGGTGAGCCGAGATCACACCATTGCACTCCAGCCTGGGCAACAAGAGCAAAACTCGGTCAGGAAAAACAACACCACATTTTCCTGGTCCCTGTCTCCTGTGAGTATAACTCGGTTAGACAGCAGCTGTATAGTATGTGTTTTTGTTCGTATTTTACTGGAAGTTTTGGGACACACGTGTCAGGACAGGTACACACGTGCCATGGGGGTTGGAGCCACCAACCCATCATCCAGGTTTTAAGCCCCACGTGCTAGAAGGTGATGGGCGCTGTGGACAGAAGGGGACGGGAGGGAGAGCTGAATTGTGGGGTGGAGGGGGTTGGGGAAGTCTTTGAGATCTGAGGCAGCACAGAGCGGTGGGTGCTCCCCAGAAACAGCAGCAGGAGCTGCAGGTACCCTGCAGGACCAGCCCTGCCTCCAGCCTGTTCAAAGAAGGGCTGTGAGCCCCGTGAGGCTAGAGTATCTGGAAAGACGGAGGGAGGACAGGGGCGGTGGACAGAAGAGACTGTAGCATTAAACCCTCAGGGGCATTGCAGGAACCCCCCCCCCACAACCTTGGGACACGGTCTGGCAGAAGGGTGTCGGGAGGGGCATTCGTGGCCTGCACACAGTCAGCAGCTGGCATTTGGGGACGAGATGTGGCGGACACAGAGTTGGCCAGAAAGTCTAGGAGGTTCTGTACCACTCAGGTGAGTGTGACACTCAGGAAGCTGGGCTGAGGTAGGACGGGGTGACCTGGAGTCTTGGCCAGGGTAGGGACGGGGTGACCCGGAGTCTTGGCCCGAGTAGGGATGGGGTGACCCAGAGCCTTGGCTGGAGGAGGGATGGGGTGTCCCGGAGTCCTGGCTGGGGGAGGGATGGGGTGTCCTGGAGTCTTGGCTGGGGGAGGGATGGGGTGTCCTGGAGTACTCGCTGGAGGAAGGACGGGGTGTCTTGGAGTCTTGGCTGGGGGAGGGACGGGGTGACCTGGAGTCTTGGCTGGAGGAGGGACGGGGTGTCCTGGAGTCTTGGCTGGGGGAGGGACGGGGTGACCTGGAGTCTTGGCTGGGGGAGGGACGGGGTGTCCTGGAGTCTTGGCTGGGGGAGGGACGGGGTGACCTGGAGTCTTGGCTGGGGGAGGGACGGGGTGTCCTGGAGTCTTGGCTGGGGGAGGGACGGGGTGTCTTGGAGGAAGCAACCAGCATAGGGTTCATGTCCTTCAGCAGGTGAGAAGGAAGGAGAGCCAGGGAGGACAGGCAGGTTCCCAGAAGGGAGGTGTGGGGGGACCATTCCAGCCTGGACACCTGGGCAACGCCACTCCACCTGCCCCTGCCCCAGGGGGCCTGTCCGCCGGCAGCTTCTGCAGTCCCCGGGGAGACGCCGCAGGACTGCTGAATGGGACCCTAAACCCAGCCCACCTAGACATCGCCACCTGGACATCCAAGGCTGTGGCCGACGGCTGGGGTCTGTCCTATGCCCCCTCATGACTGTTTTTTTATTGTATTTTTTAAGTTATTTTTTGAGAGACAGAAGGTCTCTCTTTTAGACATAGGGTCTCACTCTGTCGCCCAGGCTGGACTGCAGTGGCACAATCATTGCTCACTGTAGCCTTGAACTCCTGGGCTCAAGCGATCCTCCCGCCTCAGCCTCCCGAGTAGCTGGGGCCGCAAGTATTCAACACCATGCTCAGCAATTTTTTTTCTTTTTTTTTGAGATGGAGTCTTGCTGTGTTGCCCAGGCTGGAGTGCAGTGGTGCAATCTCAGCTCACCGCAACCTATTCCTCCTGGGTTCAAGCGATTCTCCTGCCTCAGACTCCTGAGTAGCTGGAATTACAGGTGCACCACCACGCCCAGCTAATTGTTCTGTATTTTTAGTAGAGACGCGGTTTCACCGTGTTGGCCAGGCTGGTCTCGAACTCCTGACTTTGTCATCCTCCTGCCTCTGCCTCCCCAAGTGCTGGGATTACAGGCCTCAGCCACTGCACCCGGCCATGTGCAGCTGGTTTAAAAACTTAAAAGGTTTTGTATTTTCGCTAGAGACAAGCCCTCGCAACATTGTCCAGGCTGGTCTCGAACTCCTGGGCTCAATGAGTCCTCCTGTGCCAGCCTTCTGAGTAGCTGGGACTACAGGTGCCCACCAAGGCTGACTAATGCTTTATTTTTGCAGAGATGGGGTCTTGCTATGTTGCCCAGGCTGGTCTTGAACTCCTGACCTCGTGATCCGCCCGCCTTGGCCTCCCACAGTGCAGGGATTACAGGCATGAACCACCGTATGCATGTGTAATATTCATCTAAAATGTTTCAAAAATGCAGACAGTGCTATTTTACACATAGAATAGATGATGTTTCAAAATACCTTTGCTTCATCTGTCGGCTGGGGGCCCATGGAATTTGAACCATAGCGTTCTGACAACCATATTCATCCATTTCAACAGTACACGTGAACGAATTAACGACAGTTCATGCCATATTGACACTTTTGAAATTTTTTTTTTTACTTTTTTTAAAGACAGAGTCTTGCTCTGTCCCCCAGGCTGGAGTGCAGTGGCGCAATCTCGGCTCACTGCAACCTCCGCCTCTGGGGTTCAAACGATTCTCCTGCCTCAGCCTCCCCAGTAGCCGGAATTACAGGTGCACGCCACCACGCCCAGCTAATTTTTGTATTTTTAGTAGAGAGAGGGTTTCACCATGTTGGCCAGGCTGGTCTCGAACTCCCGACCTCAGGTGATCCACCTGCCTCCCAAAGTGCTGGGATTACAGGCATGAACCACCGTGCCTGGCCATTCTGCAATTCCAGCCGGAAGGAGAGCGGAGATGCGGGTGCATGTAGAAAAAGCAGCCATGTGTCTATGGTGACAGTCTCTGTGCCCACATGGACCCATTATTCAGCGCCCACTCATAAGTGAGAACAGGCTGCATTTGCCGTTCTGTGTGTCACGGCCTCCAAGGTGACAAAACCGCATTTCTATGCCCTAAATCTATAAAAACACATAAAGCTTTAAAAAATGGGCCAGGTGCAGTGGCTCAGGCCTGTCATCCCAGCACTTCAGGAGGCTGAGGCGGGCGGATCACGAGGTCAGGAGTTTGAGACCAGCCTGGCCAACATGGTGAAACCCTGTCTCTACTAAAAATACAGAAAAATTAGCAGGGCATGGTGGCAGGTGCCTGAAGTCCCAGCTGTTCAGGAGGCTGAGGCAGGAGAATCGCTTGAACCCGGGAGGTGGAGGTTGCGGTGAGCTGAGATCGCACCACCACTGCACTCGGCCTGGGCAATAAGAATGAAACTAAAAAAAAAAAAAAAAAAAAAGGAAAGAAGAGAGAGAGAGAAAACGCCTTTTTCTAGGCTGGGAGAGGGGAAAAAGGACGGAGAAATTGGGAAGGCCTTTCTCTGGAGCATGGGTTCAAGAATGGCTTTACACGTCATATGCAGCCAATTCCCATAAACCTGGGGGTGTGGCAAGAACAGAGGCCTGATGTAAGCCGGGGGTGGAGGCTCCTGCCTGTCATCCCAGCGCTTTGGGAGGCTGAGGTGGGTTGATCACGAGGTCGGGAGTTCGAGGCCAGCCCGGCCAATATGGTGAAACCCCATCTCTACTAATAAGACAAAAATTACCTGGGCATGGTGGTGGGTGGGTGCCTGTAGTCCCAGCTACTCGGGAGGCTGGGGCAGGAGAATGGATTGAACCCGGCAGGCGGAGGTTACATTGAGCCGAGATGGCGCCACTGCACTCCAGCCTGGGTGACAGAGCAAGACTCTATCTCAAAACTAAACACAAAAAATAAAATAGAAACAGAGTTCGCAGGTGTATCGCGCAGGTCTTCTCCGAGCCTTGGCTAAAAGTTCCTTGGTTCCTCATTTCCCCTCAGCCCCTGCAGCTCTAGACCCACAAGACAGCGCCTCAAAGAGGCCTCTCTAAGGAGCATTCCCAGGATACTCGGCGGCCTCCCTAGGCCACCAAACATCCCAGGACTGACAATGTCTTGCCTCCGTCCCTTCACCAGAGGCCAGCAGAAGAAATACACTCTTGCCCTGGGGCAGTGGCTCACGCCTGTCATCCCAGCACTTTGGGTGGCTGAGGTGGGCAGATCACGAAATCAGGAGTTCAAGACCAGCCCGATCAACACTGGGAAACCCTGTCTCTACTAATAATGCAAAAATTAGTCGGGCGTGGTGGCGCATGCCTGTAATCCCACCTAATCAGGAGACTGAGGCAGGAGAATCGCTTGAACCTGGGAGGCAGAGGTTGCAGTGAGCCAAGATGCCACCAGTGCACTCCAGCCTCGGTGACAGAGTGAGACTCGGAGTCAAAAAAAGAAAAGGAAAGCAGACACTAGGAAGGCCAAGGGCAGGAGAGTTTATGGCCAACATGAGAAAGATAAACCATAACAGGGGCAGCCTCAATAGGGGGTGGGGGCAAAAAAGGAAAACAGAAGAACCCCAGAATGGTCGCCGTGACACAGGCCACCTCAATATTGGGGGGGACTCACAGGTGAAAACATGGAAGGAGGCCTGGATGGTCACCATGACACACGCCGCACTCAACAGGGAAGTCTCATTTTTTCTTTTTTTTTTTTGAGACAGAGTCTCAGGCTGGAGTGCAGTGGCACAATCTCAGCTCACTGCAACCTCCGCCTCCCAAATTCAAGCAATTCTCCTGCCTCAGCCTCCCAAGTAGCTGGGATTACAGGCACAAGTCACCACGCCCGGCTAGTGTTTTTGTATTTTTGTATTTCTAGTAGAGATGGGGTTTCAGCATGTTGGTCAGGCTGGTCTTGAACTCCTGACGTCATGACCCACCTCAGCCTCCCAGAGTGTTGGGATTACAGGCGTGAGCTGCTGCACCCAGGCAGAAGTTTGATTTTTTTTTTTCTTTTTACCAAAAGAGACCCTAAGATCTCAACTGAACAGAAGCAAACCGGTTCAGAGATAAGCCTCATAAAAGGTATGAATCAGAGAATCACACTTTCTCCTATTGTGGAATAACCATTCCTTCTCTGTTCTGCCCGGTGGAATTCAAATCTATTGTGGATAGTTTTTTTTGTTTTGTTTACGGATTCTTGGATTCTCACACAGGCTGGAGTGCAGTGATGCGATCTCGGCTCACTGCAACCTCCGCCTCCCGAATTCAAGCAATTCTCCTGCCTCAGCCTCCCAAGTAGCTGGGATTACAGGCACGTGTCATCACGCCCGGCTAGTGTTTTTGTATTTCTAGAAGAGATGGGGTTTCAGCATGTTGGTCAGGCTGGTCTTGAACTCCTGACCTCGCGACCTACCTCACCCTCCCACAGTGCTGGGATTACAGGCATGAGCCACCTCGCCCAGCTGATACCCATTGCTATAGGCCAAAGGGTGGTGCTCTGCAACTTGTCTAGACAGCCTGCATCCAATTTATCACGAGGCAACAGGTACCACCACGCCTGGCTAATTTTTTGTTAATTTTAGTAGAGATGGGGTTTCAACATGTTGGCCAGGCTGGTCTCAAACTCCTGACCTCAGGTGAGATCCACCTGCCTTGGACTCCCAAAGTGCCAGGATGACAGGTGTGAGCCACTGCACTCGGCCCTGGTGACATTCTTACAGCCGCTGAACAGGCAGAAACTCAGGACCGGGCTGTGCAGACTGAGGAAGATGCACAGAACTGTGAGGGGCCCATGTTTCCAGTCAGCTTCTGGGCAGACAGGACAGAGCCATCTGAGAGAAAGGCTGTCTCTGCAGCCCTCATCCGCTAGTGATACGAGATTGGGGGTTGGAGAGGCGCGTGTCCAGACCTCCAATCACCAAGGTTTTTTTTTCTTTCTGAGATGGAGTCCCCTGTCACTCAGGCTGCAGTTCAGTGGCGCGATCTCAGTTCACAGCGACCTCAACCTCCCGAGTTCAAGCGATTCTCCTGCCTAAGCCACCAGACTCGCTGGGATTACAAGCACCCACCACCACACCATGCCAGTTTTCTATTTCGGGGTTTTACCATGTTGGCCAGGCTGGTCTCGATCTCCTGACCTGAAGTGATCCACCCTCCTCGGCCTCTCAAAGTGCTGGGATGACAGGCGTGAGGCAACGCCTGGCGGAAGGTTTGTGTTTTAATTCCACAGCGGAAGGGACTATTCCACCCCGCTCAGGTTAAGCAGGCGGCATGTACACTACCTGTGACCACACTTCAGGCGGGAAAAAGAACATCCATTGTTTAAACCTGCTTTTCGAGATTTGCTAACTTGCTGGTTCTCAGCAAAGAACATCCTAAGCCGCCTCTTAGGACGGAGACGGAGTCTCACGCTGTCGCCAGGCTGGAGTGCAGTGCAGTGGCGTGATCTCGGCTCACTGCAGCGTCCACCTCCCGGGCTCAAGCGATTCTCCTTCCCCAGCCTCCCGAGTAGCTGGGATTACAGGCGCCTGCCACCACACCTGGCCCCTTTCGTGTATTTTCAGTAGAGAAGGCAAAAGCTGTGGGATGATCATGACTCAGCAGTTCTGGAAAACGCCCATGATTTCTATTGGTGTGAGACGCCCTTGGCTACCTTTACCTCAACAAGGGACTCCAAGGAACAGAAAAACACAAAGATCGTAACTTTAGCTCACTGGAAAAAGATTTTATTTCACCATAAAAATGCAAATTGGAATAAACACCATCTTTCCGACCGCGAACGTTACAGGTGTGTGTGTTTCTGAGCCTGGCTTTGAGGAGCCGAATGTAAAACTTAACAAGTTTGCAGCCTTAAATCTGTGTGAAACATTCCAGTAAAAATAATTTAGCCAAACAGCTTCTTAAAAAAACACACACGCACACTAACCTTTACTAGAAACCAAAGCTTCGAACCAACCTGTTTTCTGCTAAATTCCTTCAAGTTGTAAAAAGTGAATGTGTCTGATGTTAAGGAGCATCAGACCGTGGGCAGCACTGCCCCCTCCGACACCTTAGAAGGAGCAGCGCCTGAGTTTGATCTTGAAGGACCTGCGCCTTCCTCATCCCTGACTCAATGTGACAGTACCACATTTCGGCACCCCACGCAAACTGCACTTCTCAGTCAAAATTACAATCAGGGGTAAATCACCAGGGTGAGGCCTCTTTTCGATGCCCGGTATCTGCTGCTCCAGTCCTTTGGCGACTCTCCGCTGCCTCCTGTGTCGCGTGCACATCCTCAGCTGTGCGCGGCGGGAGGTCGCCGAGCTGACGCAGAAACCTCACATGTGCGGGGGACACAGCAGCTCCGCCATCCTCACAACGGCAGGTATGCGCGGTTTTCCTGACACAGCGAGGACTGGCCGTGTTAAAGCTATCGGATCGAGTTCTGAAGGGCGGGTGTGCGGAACCGAAGCGCCAAGCGTGCGGCGGTGGAGGAAGATGAGTGCTCAGGGTTGGCGTCGTCCTTCTTGCCGGCGGGCTTCTTGGACATTCGTGGCTGCAGAAGGGTCTTGGCTTTGCAGGGCTGGACGGAGAGTGGAGGAGGAGGAGGAGGAGGA